AAAAAAAACAAACAAAAAAAAAACATTCTTATGCATGCTTTTATGGTTTTATAACAATTCTCAACTTAGTTTACTGAATTATTCTGTAATTAACAAAGTTTACTTTATAGAAAGGCTATATGTATAGAAAGGTTAATATGTATTTTCAAACTTGTTGATATTCCAGACAAGAAAATCACAGGCTTTGCAAGCTGGGCACTCAATGGCTGTAGTACTTCAAATGAATTCATAGTGGGAAAGTATAATATACACAGACATCATATACACTTAGAAAATCACATTCAATTTCAGTTTAGCTATTTTCATTGTCAATCAATATCTTTAGCTTCATGGGTATACAGTATGCTGTGAAGCATGTGGTTAACTGATTTCTGAGAGAGCAGGTGTTCAAGTTCAAAGACCAGCATCATATTTGGTATTCACCACCACCATCATCAGCAGAATTTATATGCTTTAATTCTTCAGACTGTCTCTGAGATTACACCACCTATGTAAGTCATCTGCCCCTCCCTTTCTCTCTCCCTCCCAGATTCCTACTTCCCTTTGAGAGTACCCTGGATCACATCCAGACTTCCAAAAGACATGGTTACACAAACCTATATGTCTGTGCCATAAGCATCTCATAGGTTTTGTATAGCATTTCTCAGCCCTATACAGGTGTCTTGGATACCTTTGGACTATTTCAGTATGAATGAAAAGGAGCAAATTCACAGAGCGTAAGTTGCCACTGTCCACAGTGCCTGATTCAGGGTTTCTCTTCACAGTAGCTTTATTCCCATCCCATGTCTTGGATGCATATTTGTGGCCAAAAACTGATGCACTCCTCAAGAATACCTCTCAATTTCGGCTGAAAGTTTAGTTCATGAGTTTATAGACTGCTTCTTGATATCAGTCTATAAAGCCAGAATAAGGGGAGGAAATGGGGGAATTCACTTCTGAACCACACTTTTGATGTAAACAGCAGTTGTGATTCTGTGCCTCACATGATGTCAGGTGATAATAGGCATTTATATTTGGGGAACTTTCTCAAGATTTGAGGGTGAGATTCAGTTCTAGGTGGAGATATCTGAGTTTAGATATCCATAATATGAAATACATGTGGCATTTTATTACTGTCAATAGAAACAGTACTGATTCTATGTGAAAGATCCATGAATTAACATGTGCTCATCTCACCTTATCTTTCATTTTATAAGCATCTTCCTTCCTGGTTATCCTGATAATAGAACTCCTGAGTGCTAGCTCTATTAAAATTAATATTTCTGAATAATTATGATATTAGTACTGATGTTTGACCTATATTCCAGGTTACGTTTTCTCAGTTCCTTAACTATAAACACTTCCATAATGAGCTGCTGGTTAGTATCTGCTATATTCTAGGATTGCATTTACCTTTGTTGTATAGTACTGTTAGTCCAGAGCAACATCCACTACTTTTCTATGAATGTAATTCTCAGTCACCAAAGCCCTCCTGTTTGGTACTTGCTGCATCAGTGTACTGTTTGTTTCAGCAAATTTCTAGCATCCTTCTTTTTGTATCCTTGTCATTATGAAAAATAAGATGATATTTCAAAGACCCAGCTCTCTTTCAACAAAATTTATTTTCCTCTCCTGTTCAGACAGTTCCTTAACCATCTCAAATTTCTGTATTAAACTTGTTTAAACAGTCACGTGAATTCCAATAGCCTCATCACTGAACACTTAGAAGATGAAATTTGCATTCACTTTCTCTAGAAAATATTTATCTTATTAAATGTTATAATAATTTTGTCTTGCCCTGAAGTTTTATGTTAGTTAAATCATGTTGAATTTTATATCCTGTCCATTTGCTGTTATTATCCCAATTATTCTTTTTACTAATATTATTGCTAAAAGTCTTTTTTGCTTTTGGTATTAAACCAGCATATTTACTGATTCCAAGACATCAATTCTCATATCTTTTTCTCCACATTATTATGTAGACAATTTTTTCTACAGAGAGAGTAAGATTATATGCCATATTTTTTTCAGAGTCCTTGGATGGACAACACTTATCTCCATTAGGTTTTGCTTAAACTTAGATACAATAATCTCCAAACTATCACCTTGATCCATCTCTTCTCTATACCTTCATCTATAATCATAATCTTTCCCTCAGTTTATAATGTGTTGTTTTGTGTGTTTTGTTTTGTTTTGTTTTCCTGAATTGTTCAATTGTTCTTAACTGTACTCCAACCTCATTTCTTCTCTCTTTGCTACCCTTCTGTTTATAATGTTAAAAAAAAACCTTTTGCTACAGAATTTTCTTATTAAAATATGTTGACATACTACACGGGTGGTGTCTCCATGACAGATATTTGCAGGGAGGGAGGGAGAAGTCGGTGTTTCTGCAAGTGTTATGTGAATAAATAAAGCATTTCAGTTTTCATCATAACCAAACCCTGGCTTTTTTCCCAAACACAAAAAGGGAGAACAAATGAATGTTAGGTATTTTAAGGAAAGTATTAATTTCCGAGTCAGATAATTCACCAGCAAATGTGTTTTCAATTTCTTTGATTGAGCAATTATTCTTTTCCTCATGAAAGAATAGAGAAGAGCTTCCAAGAGCTTTTAGCTAAATAGAATAGTAGTTGATTATATGTATAAGATTCATTCATCTTCCATATGCATCTAACTTTCTTTTCTTCCAAGATCAGAATGAAAAACAGTTTTATATCATGACTTATGTTGTGTATAAGCTTTTATAATTTGTAAACATTGCAGGAGTGTCCTTTCACTTGTCTGATGCTGACAGTATGATGACAACTATTACTGTTCTGCAAAGGCTACTATCATACTAATAATACAATGTCCTCAGAGCATTGATCACCAAGTATCTTGAGAAGAAATATACAAAAGCCTACTTGCACCAAGAAGAAAAGAAGGAAGCTTACATCCCAATCAGTTCTTAAACCAGATACCATTCTAGTGAAACATGTACTCCTTTTTACTTCAGATGTGAAACCAGTCACAGGTGTGAAATATTGTAACAAAACTTTCCCATTTGCATTAATAAATAAATAAATAGTTAGATAAAAGGAAGCTCAAAATTCTGATACAAAGCAGTTATCTAATATAATTTTGCTTTCTAAAAAATTACTTTTAGACAAGTAATATAACTCAAAAACTGATATATATTAGTTTAGGGTAAGAGGGGACATAGAGCATCATATTGTACTGTGGAATTTATTGACGTCTTTTCTTTGCTCCATTCACATTTTAAGCTATTTAGCTATTATTATTATTATTTTATTTTTTGCTGAGAACAGTAAGTATTTTTACATCTGAAGTGAATAACTGTACATTCTCTCATGAGAATTAAATTCTGTTTTCTCCATCACTATTTCTATAAATGTCATATAATAAAACACCAAAGTCAGAGAATGGAGTGTTGTTGTTGTTGTTGTTGTCGTTTTTCCTGACAGTAAAAAATTAATATTTTTCATTTTGGTGATTTTTCTCATATTGGTGATTTGGTTTGAACACATAATTGAATCTTAAGTATTTATTTAATCACTGCTAATTTAAACAAAACTCAGTTTTGCACTTTAAGGTGTCCAACCTACAAAGGGAATTCCTTCCATTTATTGTTTGTTGAAGAGCCCAACACAGACCTGTTAATAAGGGTGGTGAGAAATCCTTACTCCTGGTGAAACACTTTTCTATGAAGAATAAACTATAACACTGCAGTCTCCGCAATTTCTGACCTCAACACAATATTCCCAGCAGAAGGAATATTACTCACTACTTTAACAAAAATCTTTACTGTAGAGTTATATCTAAAAATCCAGCCATCATTGTGAAAGGCCACCTACCCACTTAGATACTTTAATACAGATAGAGATCTTAATCTTACTTTCAAAATACAGGAGAAGGAAGCACTCCTTCACCTCCTCCACTTCTATGTGATACCTGAAAGCATTTACTGAGAATTATCTTCCTTCAGTGTCCATGCCTGCTTCCAACCCATACCTCCTATGTTGTTTGGAGAATCCTAACAACCACCCAGCATATTAATAAGAGTTCAATATCTGCAAGCAGGGTTTGGCTTAATTGCCATTTAAGATATGCCATATAGCCTTGCAGTTCTCTTTCAGGACAGAAGTAATGTTTTTATTATTGTTATTGGGTTTTGTTTGTTTGTTTTGTTTTGTTTTAATGTTCTTCCATTTTGTTTTGTTTTAATGTTCTTCCAGGGCTGCAGATTTAACATAAATTCTGTGGCTTTGTTTCTTTTAGATCAGTTAAAGCATGTTAATTTGTACTTAGTATAGCTTAATATATTTTATGACTAATACAGTGTAAGCAAAGACAAAATCTGAAATTCCCAAGTGTAAATGACTAAATATTTCTAGTGAGTATACTTAAGTGAGGTTATTCAAATAAGAAATGTGGTGAAACTGGAATCATACTAGACTCGATTTAAAAAAAAAATTCTAAACTACAAAAAAGTGGAGATTATTTAAGTGTCTATGCTACACTGTGTAGTAATGTCATCAATCGTACTTTGACTAGATATAATTAATTTTATGTGTTGTTTTGTTTTTGTTTTTGTTTTCTTTTTCCAGTTCTCTTTTACATTTTGCTTTCCATTCCTCTTAGATTTGGTTTATAAGATTTTATTTTATTTTAATGAAATATCTTGTGGTTAATTTGACAAAATATAACAGTGAAACTTTAAACACAAATTATGAAGAATCACCTTTTTACTCTTTACAAAATATTCATTAATATTCACCATGGATATGTGTTAAAAGATACTAATCCACTGATGGCTCCTTGTAACTTTATGAATTAAAGAAAAAGGAGTAAAATGGGGTTATTACAAACCTTTTGAAACAGGAGATTATCACAATTATCATCTTCCTCATCCCTAACTACAGAGGCAGCAGGCCTTAATCTTATTTATTAGCTGTAAAATTTATCATCATGAAATTTGGCTGCTAGGAATGGAGATATATTTATGTATTTTTCGTTTTCAGGATAACTATTCTTCCACATGGGAGCCTACGAATCGTGAATGCTTCTAAATCTGATGAAGGACGGTATTTATGCCAAGGTGTAAATGTATTTGGATCTGCAGAAATCATTGCATCAGTATCTGTTAAAGGTATGACAAAAAACTTTGATGTTATTGATGATATCTCATTGCTAATATTTGCATACATATTAAATCAACCAGATCATCACAAATAGTTCCATAAAATTAAAAACAAAAAAAGGAAAAAAAAAAAAAAAAAGGAGAGAAGGGAGAGAGAGGAAGAAAAAATAAAAATCAATATCCCTTTTAACATATTTTATCTTTGGGATCTCACTTGCTTTCTGAAGAGGAATCCCCTTTCTAAAGAGGATTGAAGTCTGGAGGAAAAAAAAAAAAAATGTATCAATGAACATTCTAAGGACTGAGTCACGATTAATTTTTAAGCCACATTTTTTCTCACTTTGTAGGTGACTTCTTATATTGCTTTTCATTTTAGATGTTCAATGGTCATCTTTGTGTATTTATGCCTGGATTTTTTTTATTATTTTTCATTTATTTTTTACGAGACAAAACAATACAATCAAAAGATTCCAGGTGTTACAGCTTTAAAAGCAAGCAAATATATACATATATGTATATATATATGTATATTTCAGTATTTAGAACTATATATTTTGAAAAAAAAAAAAGCAAAAAGCAATAAATGCAGGGTCTGAGTAAACCAAGCAGAACTTAAAAACATTATATTCATGCCTTGCCATAACTAGACTTCCACTGAAATGTTCTTTATCCTTCTGTATTTCAAGAACCAACAAGAATAGAGCTGACTCCCAAGAAGATAGAGTTAACAGTTGGAGAAAGCATTGTCCTCAGTTGCAAAGCCCTTCATGACAGCACACTAGATGTCACTTTCTATTGGACACTTAATGGGCAGCCAATTGACTTTGATAAAGAAGGTGGACACTTTGAAAGCATCAAGGCAGTAAGTGATCATATGTATGGTTTTATGTGTGCTGCAAAGTGATAAAAATTTATTTTACATGTTTTTTACATGATTTTTCATGCCTTCCGTGTACAAAAGTCTAACAAAATTGAAAGATAACTTGTTTCACTAATGTTGGAAAGAAATTACAGCTAGAAGAGGTACAAACTTCAGGTTACTAGAGTTAATTCTTCATCTGTTAGTATTAGTGAGGTACCTGTTGATCTTTGTGAGGGAACAGAAAGTAGTTTGAATCTAACCTTCCTTGCATAATTCTATTGATTTTAATACAAAAAGGATGCTGCTATAAACTTTATCTTTCTTACAGATAGTATGGTTGTTGGAATGTACTTACCTCCCAATGTTTTTATTTATTTAGCTCATATTTTTTTTATCTGAATAACAAGGACTATGTTTTATTCTCCAGCCTTCTCTCTGCCACCACCATCCCTTGCCCACCTCCCCCTCTCACACCCCCCCCACCCCCCCCAAGTAGATTCTAGCTTTGCAACTGCTATTAAAGTTAATAAAAATCATATGGAAAAATATGCATACAAATTATATATATTAAAAACAAAAATAATTTAATATGATCAAATAGTGTGATAAAGTAACATGAGCCCGTCCCATGTAAAACTGTTTGAACTTTTCTTAGTAGAAAGAAATTTCTTAATGTGAATGAGTATGGAAATAAAAGCTACAGACATTTACTTCAATTTAGCCATTAATGAAATGTAAATCAAATGTCCATGCTATGTTAACAGAATAATGAACCTCACAAAGGTCAGGAACTTTTAAAAGTCAATGTGTCTAATTTGAGCACAATGTAGCAAAGTTAACTTTGCATTAGAAATCTTGTCAGTGACAATCAATTTATTCCTCTGCTTGGCTTTATATGTTATACTGTATTCATTTTGTATGCGTGTTGGTGGTGAGGGATTTGGTTTTTTGTTTGTTTGTTTTCATTTTTGTTTTTGAAAACAAAAACAAAACAAAAGTTTGACTTCAATAAGCTTTGCCATTGAAAAATATTAGTAAGGTGTGAAGGTTCTTAGCGTACTTTTCTTCATCAAAAATCCAATATTCAAAATCCAATACTAAATATTTAAGAAGTAAAAACTGTAACTTCCTTCCTTTTCTCTCTTTCTTCCTTTTTTCCTCTTTTACTTCAAATTTAAAACATCTTATAATTCAAGAAAACACCTATCCTTATAGTTTAAATCAAGTTATTTCAAAAAATTTGAAATCTAAAATGTGTTACACAAATCCTTTAGTACATTTCAGCATCTTCAAGTCTGAAAGGAATTTATAATCACCAAGAAAATTGCTCAGGCTAGGAAATTACCAAAGACATTTTTTTTAACAAATTGCAAACTTCAGCTGATCATAAAAGAAAAACAAGGTAAAGAGAAAGAACACTTTTTTTTTTTTTTTTTTTTTTAAGATTAGGGTCTACTTTGTCCTTATTGAGCCAGTCTTAAAATAGTGAAATACTATAAAGCTTTAAAGAAATAATAAAATGATGCCAAAATTATTTTTATTTATTTATTTATTTATTTATTTATTTATTTTAAACTGGAGTAGCTTGATTTGTCTTTACAAGATTGCTCACACAAGAGATTGTCAGGCCATGCTTCATTTACTTGCATTCCTAAGTCATTTAAATGTCAAGACATTTCTCTTCTGTTTTATTTATTAATTTATTTATTTTAGAATAGTAGTTTAGGCTTGGATGAACTAGAAGAGGGCTACTGACTCATAGTACTGATACCTACTGACTCATTACAGTATGGGAATAGGAGAAACACTCCTTTCCAGGACAGATGTACCAGAGCATGATCATTTAGGACAATCCTCACTACAATTTTTTTAATGCTGTTGGAGATAAATGACACATCCTTCTCCCACTTAAAAGTAGTAGTAAAAACCTGTGCAGATGTCCATTTATCAAAAGACCTGCCTGTGTTGTCTTGAAATCAAGTTGTATCATAAGGTGCAAAACTCCAAAGTAATATTTGTGGATATAAGAAACTTTCTGTGTTTTGACAGACATTAGGGGAAAAAAATAATAATAAAAATTCTCATACCTATTCATTTCCAGAGCCTAGTTAATTATATCTCATTTACCTTTTTGTTAACTACATGAACATGTAAAATTAATCAAGAGGTTAGAAAGATATTCCTTTACTTAATTGAAACCTAAAGAATGACCATGTACTAGGGGAAAGCAACATAAAATAAACCTCTTCTGTTTATCCCATCAGGTAATCCCATCAGGTAATCCCATCCATCCATTCTCAGAGTGCTACACAATGTGATAAAGACACTGCTTTAAGAATGCAGAGTAAAGGAACTTGAACACTTGAAATCTAATAGAATTCCATTTATATCCCTTACTTTATATTTTTGGAAAAAAAAAATGCATGTGTTGATCCTGCACAATATGCTTTTATCTGAGTACATCTAAGAAAAAATAATATCCTTTGTGTGCATGAAGTTCTATAATTATACACCCATTTTGTGCTGCACACACTGATTCTTCATCAGATTAAAAATAAATAAATTGCTCAGGTTTGTTTGGGTTTTGTCTATTTGTTTGAAAGCCTGAAAAATTGAACATTATTTGAATGGTGACTTTGTTAATAACAAAACCACTGTCAGCTTCACAACACCAGTTGCATTGCTCACAGTATCACTGTGACAGCTCCAGGAGTTAAGTATGACAAACATTTTGATGTTTAATAAAGTGTTATAAAAGCTATCACCTAAGTAACATTTATTTGGATCCTAGATAAATTTCCATTTGCTAAAATTGCATGTTCCTTAGTAATTACAGTTAAAAGGAAAGGGAAAAGCTTCTATTAATAATACATATTACTTTGCTTGGTCTAAAATTGCATTCTTAAAAAAAAAAAAATCATACTGAGAACTATTTTTTATACAAATTAAAGGTGTTTTTTCTGTTATTTACTGAGCTACCAAGGATTTCATACCTATGGCAATTTAGGTAGGATAAGTGTTGTAAGGATGTCAAGTTGAAAAAAGCTATGCTTGAAGGGAAAGAGGCAAAAATCCACTGGAGCGACTGTACTCTAGGACAGAAAATGTGCCAAATATTTTGCATGCATAACTCTACAACAGGCTCCGTAGCAGAACAATCATTCAAAGGCATACATATACCAAGAGTCCTTTGGCATCAGAAAAATCATATTTTGTCAACCAAAAGACTTGATAACATTTCAGGGTCTGTGGGGAGGTAATCTGTGTAATTAAAAGAAATTATGTTGAATGGAAGTTGAACTGCCAGAATTTCCTTCCAGCAACACCAGTGAGCACTTGAGCACAGAAAATATAAACCTGTTTGCATCTGTTAGGGTAACTTTGATTTTCTATCCTACTTTTTTGTTGTTGTTGTTGTTAAATCCAGAATTCCTGTACAGAATTTTCTGGTTTTTGAGATCTCCATTTACCATAATTTTCTACAGGAGGTATCAATTTTCTAGTTAAAGACATTTGATTTTATGAGTTGATTTTCAACCAGCTATCCTTATTCCAAACCTGTGTTTGAAAGCTGATATTGTTTTTATGGCAGCCAAATAAAATAATTTATTGTGTTCATCTACATAATGGTAAGCAGCAACATTGCTCTTAGTGTCCCTCACCTTGACCTGTATGAATAACTTTCAGACTGAGGAAAGTGATTTAGTCTCAATATCTTCTTGGTCTTTTACCTTAACTGAAACTGCAACCATGGGAAGCCATAAGCACAAATTGTCACATTATATTTTACTGCTATAATTTTTTCCACATAGAAGTGAATTAAAATCCACTGTTTCACTTAGAAAAGGCTAGTATTTATAAAGTGGACAGTACATTAACCTTCTAGCACTGGAGACTTGAATATGATAACTTAGAACCTATGAGGGCATAACTTTGCATCTTTCCCTACATTTTCTAGTCTCTCCTTTGTTTGTTGCCTTGTAATGATCTTTCAGAAGATTAAAATTTCATTACCATTTTCTAAATAGGAAGCACTAAGTTCTACACTGCATGGTATCAATTAAAAGAGCAGGCTATTATAATAATATATCTGCTCTTTATTTGAGATAAAAGCCCTATTTAATTAATCTTGTTTGGTTTTATTTAACACCCACCCATAGAAAAAAAGTAATAGTTGCCAAAAGTCTTGTAGAAGAGATATGCTTTATGAACAGAGGATTTCTGTTTCTTATAGGCTTCACGGTGAGGGTGGGGTGAGGAGGTGCACACATAACAGAATAAAGATTGCATGTCAAAAAACTTTTTGTTTTATGACTGGTAGCTACTACTCAAAATCTGAATACAATGAAGACCATTGTCTGATACAAACTTTTTCCATGTGCTGCTTCCAGAATAAAACAGTCCCTGTGAACTGATTAAATTTACAGACATACCTGCATGATGCATTAAGATGGGACACTGAGCATTTCCCAAAATCAACAGTGTGTGAACTGATATGCCCAAATACTTGTATTTGGCTATGAATAAAGAGTAAAAGAGAGAAGATGATAAGTAACATCTCTTACATTTCATTTTACTTTGGAACAGGGAGATAACTGAGCATTTTGGACAATGTGACTAAATATCCTTGAAAACTGATTTCTATCAGAAAAATGATCATCATAAAAAAGTCACATCCTTAAAAAAAAAAAAAAAAAAAAAAAAAATCATAGCCTTATTCCATTAAAGTATTTCTGCCTTCCCTTGTTTACAAGAAATTTATTATATAAAGGACAAAAAAAAAAGGGGGGGGGGGGGGGGGGGTAAATACCAGATATTTCACAACAGCCCATTTTTTATTCTTTCCTCTCTTTCTTTGCAGCTGTTGCACCATTTAACTCTGTTTAGCCCAGTATTAATCTGGGCTGTAACAGCACCACTGATGGTTTGAGCACCTGATCAATACTGTCTAATTTGAAGGCTTTCCATTTACAGCTCTGTGTAGCCTGTTTTTCACCTGC